CCCCAAAACCCCAAAACCCCAAAACCCCGTATGATTTATATCCGAAAATATTTGATAAAGTTAAATAAATTTAAATGTCGAAATTTGCAGGTGCGCATGCAGCCTCTCAAGGAGGAAGCTCCTTATTATCAGGGGGTTTATTTGGAAATCAAAACAGAGAATCAAGTCCTTAACAAAGAAAGAGCTAAGTAGTAAGCGTTTTTAAGCCTTTAAGATAAGGTACTACGGATTCAAGAAAAAGTTATGAAATGAATTAATAAAATTTAAAAAAAGCAAAGACCTCTGGTAAGATGCTTAACTAGATAGATGAATATTAAGAGAGTTCAAGAAACTATAATGATTAAGATCCCGATATAAAAAATGGAGAGAAAAAAAGTAAAAGGAAATCGAATAGGAAATCAAACAAAGTTTTTGCAGCAGTTGAAAACTCTGGAGTAACAACATAGAAGCAATTAACTATAAAGCAAAATCTGAATAAAAAAAGACCGTCTCAAGAATAAAACCTTAAAGATAATGATGTTAATTTAGAAGACATATTTAAAAAAGACACTGAAGATCATGATGAGGAATCTCAGAATAATGTTTAAAAAGATTTAGAAGAGCTGTTTGATTAAGATGAAATGGAAACAGCACTTGAAGCTGAAGATGCTATTAAGGATGTAAGACTAAGTAACTAGTATTATAACAAAATCATAATATCTGAATACTCAGCTGTTTTTTTCTCTACTTTTGGGATGTGTCTCTCCGTTTTACTTTTTGAAATGAAAGATAATAAAGACATATCAGAAGTCTAAAATATGGTTCTCAGCTATAATGTATTTTGCACAATTGGCTGCATTCTCAGTATTTATATGAGATATGATCTATATTTGCTCTGGAATAAATCGAGGGGGCTGCTGACAGAATATGATACTCTTTGGAATACAGGCAACTGGTAGAGCCTTGGATGTGAATTATTCATCGTAATAATTGCACCATACCCATTCTTATATGACATTAAATATGAAGAGTACAATCCACAATTTTCAACCTATATTACTTATGATGTAAACGATCTCTTGCTTACTTTCAGTTTCTTGAGGATATACATTTTAGCAAGATTTACAATGGTTAAAACCTAATTTATGAATCCAAGATCTCTGAGAGTTTGCTTGATGAATGGATGCTAGGCTGACGTGTTTTTCGCTGTAAAATCTATAATGAAATAAAGGCCTTATACAGTCCTTGGAATATCAATGATTATTTCGACAGTTATCTTTTCATATTAGTTGAAAATTTTTGAAGCACCAATGTCAGAAATTAGTGGATAGAACTTTTAATCATTTATCAATTGCATGTGGTGTGTAATGGTAACGATGGGCACAATTGGATATGGGGATATTTATCCAAAGACTGTAATGGGACGCATTATTGGAATGATTGTCTGCTTTTGGGGTGTATTTATTGTATCTATATTTGTAGTGACACTCAACAACATGCTAACATTTAGTGCCAATGAAGAGAAAGCATATAATTTGCTTCAAAGATTATACTATAAAGGTGAACTGAAAAGGAAGGCAACTTTAGTACTTGGAAGCGCTTTTAGACAAAGGAATGTTAAGATAAATGATGCTGAAAATAATAGAAAGATTCTCACAGCAATGAGAATATTCCGCATGCATATGATTAGTTTTTAAAATACAGCTAGAGCAGTGAGAGGGTTTTATGAAGCTGACACTGATGTTGAAATTATGTAAAAATTAATTGAAAATCTTATGGAAGATGTTAAAATGCTACGAGAAAATTAGCTTAGTATATAGAAAAGGATATATAATGTGGGACTTTACATTGAAAAGCAACTTCAGCAGCATAGTTTTTCAAATCAAAGCCAGGTATAAGAAGAAGTAGAATTTGTTGAGGAATTATTAGTCTGATATTTATCTACGATCTACTAAAATCAAAATCAAAAATAGTATAATTAAATGGCTTGTAAAACTATAATTAAATCTTAATTTAATGATCATGGTTATTTCAAAAATTTAAAGCTTTGGGGTTTTGGGGTTTTGGGGAGATCGGAAGAGC